CCTACATGTATGTGTCTGTAGAGCCGTGCCACACAGTGCATCACCAACTTATGAGTTGCGGGTAATGATGCTTGGGTACAGGAACCGAAAGATCGCTCTATGTACACTTTCAACGAAAGATGGCGCAATTGCATGTGTGGCCAACCATCCATTCAGAGCGGCGACGAAAGCAAACAAAGTATTGCAAGATAGATTGTCGGTAAAATACTGTTGTGTAATTAAATGTTCAGAGAAAAAGGGAAAATCGGACAAAGAATGACAAAATATGCACATTTTAAGTACAGCAAATTTGTTATAGTTTTACAAATTCTCCCAAATGACAGTCAATACTTTAGTATGTATGATATTGTATGACTAAAAATTAACTTCGATAATAATAATGATGATAACAGCAATAATAATATTTCAGATTTATAGGGAGCTGAATCCACTTGAAATTGAGTTTTCAAGGCGCACTTAAAAAGAAAGAAAGAGGGAAATCGCATAAAAGCAATTGCATTATAAACACAACAACAGAAAGATATAACGTACGATGATAAAATAAAAACTAGTAATGTACTTTGCTAAAGATATAGACCGTCAAAAGACCGGTAGTCGTAAAATTGCGGTTCAAGGGTTTTGGGTGCAAACTATCCATTCAATATTGTTTAGATATTGCCTTCAGAGATTTAGATGGCAATACTTTAACCTAAATTTGCCAAAAAACAGAAACATATGCCAGAATGTTCAATGTTGAAATGGCTTCGCGATATCTATCCAGGCCGGACCGAAATGATAATTTACCAAATATATCAATTAGAAGGCAGTTTTCCCGGCAAAAATAGTTTCTCTTATTAGTCAAAACATATTCACATGATCGGTAATAAGAGCTTTCATTTCTCTTTTTGAGAGGGGGGGGGGGGGGGCGTTTCCATAACTGTTCTATACCTTTAAAGGGGAAGTCCACCCTGATTTAAGTTGTTTTAATAGAAGCAAACAAATGAGATAAACAGGTCAGTGAAAGTTTGAGCAAATTCTGATTCACAGTAAGAATTTTTGAAGGTGACGTATCTTTTGAGCTCCTCTCCAGTTTGTTCAATACATACAATTTTATGAAGTTTTATTTTCTTTGTTATTGATGAAGGAATAGTTTAATAGAAACATATTTGTAATAATTATGTTTAGGGTACATGTATGATCGACAAAATTCCTGATGTAAAATAACAATTTCTTTTTTTCCCCTTATTTTTAATCGGAATTGGCCCAAACTTTCACTATACCTGTTTTTTCTTCATTTTCTGCTTCTATTATAAAAAACTGCCTTAAAGGGATAGTTGAGTTCTGTTTTCAGACCACATATGCCTTCAAAGTGCATATGGTTATTGCTCTCATTCTTATCTATGACATTTCTAGTGTCCTTTTAGAACCTAAAATTGCTATGAAGGTAACTTTAGACCCCAAAATGTGTGAAATTTAGCCAATACGAACATACCAATTCAGCTCCACTTTCCAAAAAACATGGTGACCGTTAATTAATTATTTATTTAAAAAATAACAATACATGGGCCGGCTGGTTGGGCGTAATTTAAGCAACACAAAAATGCAAAAAAATAACCAACGTTGGCATTGGCTGAAATACGACGTAAAAGGCGTTATTTCGTTTTTTTCAACGGTTTTCACCGGTTTTTTCAATTTTTTCTAAATATCTAATATTTTGTGGTGGTACACAAGTATTGAAAATCGTTATATTTCAGCCGTCTCTGAACCGATTTTGATCAAACAAAGATGATTTTGTCATTTAAATATTATGTTCTTTCAAATTTGACACTCAGTTTTTCATTATCTCACAAACAATTATTTTGTGTAGCGCCCTCTGCAACAGAACTCAACTATCCCTTTAATATCAGGGTGGATTTACCTTTTAAAAAGCTGTTTTCGTCACGCCTGCGTAGCAAAAAGCGAGAAAGAGGCACCGCTTTTCAGGTACGTTGGTGGCGGCGGGGGCTTCAACATCAAAAACTTAACCAAGCTAGGTTAAGTTTTTGAATTTGTAATATAATTTTGAAAATATAAGTTATTATTGAATGAAACTTAGATTAAATGATTATCAAGTTTCCCAATCACGTGAGCACAATTTCGGGTCACAAAGTCAAGGTCAAAGTCATTTCAGGTCAACAAACTTAGACTATGTTGTGGCATCATCATCAAAACTTAACCTGAGGTTGAGTTTTTGAATTTTTAATATAATTTTCAAAGTGTCAGTTATTATTCAATGAAACTTAGACTAAAGGATTATCAATTATCGCCAATCATTAGTCTCTTAGGTGATAAAGTCAAGGTCAAATATCATTTCAGGTCTGCAAACATAGACTTTGTTGTGGCATCAACATCAATATTTTAAATTTTGAGCATAATTTCAAAATTGTTTCTTGAAATTCCATGAAACTTGTACCCAAGGATGATCAAGTATCACAAATCATATGACACAAATTCCAGGTCTCAAATTCAAGGTCAAATGTGATTTAAGTCCAGTATTGGATTATGTTTTTTACAACTTAATATGCGAATTAAAGGTAATACAACGTTTTGGTAAATTTTGAAAATTGGGTGGATAGTGACCCTTTACAATTTTGATATATTTGGATGCCCCTGTAGATGTATTATAAGCACTTTTAAACTTAGCCCCTAAAACACTACTGCTTTCGAGAAAAATTGAATATAAAAATTTGCCGGTGCTCCCTGTATATATTGATAAAATATCAACTAGCGCCTATACGGCCGTACAATGGTAGCTGCGACCATGAGAATTTCGGAATATGTAGTTGTGATATATAATTTATAAACAGGAAAAGCTAATCGGTCGATTTTAGTCAAGAAACATTGTTTGATAGCTAATTAATATCTTGACCCAGAGAGGGAGCTTTACAACATAAAGAGTTTATTATTTACAATTTTATAAATTTAGACTGAAATATATTAATTTTAATAAAATTCATGACCCCGATACCAAAACGTTGTATTACCTTTAATAAATAATTGTTTGTCATTTGTTCATATTTAATGAAAGTTATCAATCTTGGTACAAATAATAGTAAATAATTCTTCTGATGATTATTAGTCAATATTCACTTCAAAATGCTGATTATATTCAGAGAATTTTTTTGGGGGGCCTGCTAATTTGCCACCCTGCCTATAAACAATGTCCCGACTGCCTATAAACAATGTCCCGACTTCAATTTGTTATCATATCGAAATGCGTATTAAATGCAGGCGAGACCGCCGAGAGCGCTTCCTTGTTTAAATAAAGAAGTCAATGAAAAGTATTTGACCATGAAACAGGGTTACTAAAATTACTAAGGAAAACACAGGAAAAGAATGTTGTGAGTATGTTTTCTTCGAGCAATGATTGGAAAAAACAACTCACATATTTAGGGAACAAACATATCTGCTTCATCAAAAATGAGTTGTATTTAGAAAACAAATTCTCTTTTCATTAGAATGAGAATTTATGTCTGTATGGCATTGTTAAACATGACTAACAATTGTTTGTTTAATGTGGAGAATAAACACATCTTTACTAGAGTCTAATATATGAACAGATTTATTGATAATACTCTACTTCCTTGTCATTTCGCACACAGGGAGATAAATCCTCAATCAAAGAACTGGTTGTAGATCATCAATTCCTAAATGGTCTACACAGGTTTAATAATGTTGACATAAATGTCACTGTTGGAGAGCTATTCCCGAGCCTGACACAAATGACTTTTGCCACTTGTCATACTGTCTCACCGGGAGATATTGAACGGTTAGCACATTCCAGCCTAGCAGTGTTGTCTATTGAGCAAGGTGTAGATGAGGAACACGAATTAGGAGATATAACATTAGTTCCTCTCAATGGAGAACCTGCTTCACTGGGACAACTTTTCTCTAGTTCATTCCCACAACTCACCTGTCTGACCTTCCGAGGGCTAATAATGGGCAACATACGCAGTGAAGCAATACTACATAATCTAAAGAACCACCTGCATTTGAAATCAATAAGGTATGTTTATCAGGGCCATGTTTGCAGAAATTGTTATTATTTCCAATGATAGTAATGATAATAATAATAATAATAGTGATGATAATAATCATAATTGTAATAATATTGATAATAATCACATCAATAATAATAATGATAAGAAAGATAATAATGATACTATACAAATTAAGAAATAGATGAATAAATACATTAATAAATATTGAATTAGTAAATTAACAAAATATATGTGTAGATAAAATCCCCAAAAACTAATTAAATGGTTTCAATTTCCAACAGTAATACAAATTATCGGTATGCCAACGGCTGACCGACACTATGAATATGACGGACAAAGAAAGAGGACAGAATATACAGTTCCTCAGGTAGACAAAGGAACATCCCTTCCCTGCTCTTATGTACAAATGTGTAGAACAGGTGTCACATGTATATTCACCTGTTCTACACATCTTTACATGATAATAGCAGTGAAGGGATGTTCTTTAGTCTACCACAGCAATTGTTGAGGGTAGAATGATGAACTGTATATTTTACCCTCTTTCTTTTTCCGTCAAGTTCATAGTGTGACTTTTTTGTTTGTTTTGCAATTACAAACATTAAATAAGTTGTAAAGGATACATAAACATTTGTCTAAATCAATAACCCACTTCTTGTAATGGCCAAATTTAACGGATTAAATCTTTGCGCAGCACCAAATGTACAACCATTTTGGTACAAGGGTTTGAAAATTAGACTACTTAATTAAACGACCGCGATCGTTAAATTCGCTTTGACAACTAACGGTCGTTGTAATCCCACAAAAAAAAAAACATTTTCAAGCCCTTTTGTCTTGAGGGAAGTTCTAAATTAGTATAATCTTTCAAATACCATTGGAATTTACCCATTTTTTAGGCCTGCAAATGGGACATAGTACCTTTAATTCCTATAAAAAGTCAGTATGTTTAAATATGTACCTTCCATGGACACATATTTTGTTTAGTATCATCAGGTGTTTTACGGATGACGAATTGGACCCCCTGGCTGAACAAATAACTACTGAGAACAGAATGAAAATTACACTTCAACATGACACGGTAAATTTCTTTGTCATATCGACTATGTTGGTCCTAAAGAAGTTTTAAAAGAAAAAAATATGATACTTAACAAGAAGTTTTTTATAAAGCAGTAAATTGAGAAAAATAAGTAAGTGAATGGTTATGCAAAATCTGATAGAAAAAAATAGAATTATTGGTTATTTTGTACGGAAGCGTTAAAGTGCCATTCTACTTGACGACATGACGAGATATTTCATCTTGTCAAGTCGACTTAATATCCATATGATGTCGACATGTAAAGATATTTAACCTACCATGTCGACTTATCAACTTGTATTAGTCGACATGGCGAAATAAATTATCTTGCCAAGTCGACTTCACAAAAAGTTCATGTTGTCATGGCGACATAAGTTATCTTACCAAGTCGACTTCTAAAAATATACATGTCGTCTTGGCGACATATATTATCTTACCAAGTCGACTACCCAAAAAGTAATGTCGACATGGCGAAATAAATTATCTTGCCAAGTCGACTTCACAAAAAGCTCATGTCGTCATGGCGACATGTATTATCTTGCCAAGTCGACTTCACAAAAAAGTTCATCTCGTAATAGCGACATAAATTATCTCACCAAGTCGACTTCCCAAAAAGTCAGACATTCTCGGCGCAATGGTTGTATAGTTACTTGGACTGTGATTGGTTAAAACCGTACAGCCATAAAACTATACAGGCATTCTCGCCGCCATGGCTGTATAGTTTCCTGCATTGTGATTGGTTAAATCCGTACAGCCATAGAGCTGAATGGATGTATGGTTGGTCGCAATTATGGCATTTCGGCCTGCAAACGTAACAACCGTACATGCGTTCTATAGCTGTATGGTTGCATAGTCGTAAAGTTGTATAGTTGTATAGTTGTACAGTTTCCTGTGTTCTGATTGGTTAAAACCTTACATCCATTCGATGGATGTATAGTTGTATAGTTGTCATCTTTATGGCACGATCCGCCCGTCATACGCGCGCTGCATGAAATAGTCGTCACACTACATATCTCGCCATGACGACATATACTTTTTGGGAAGTCGACTTGGTGAGATAATTTATGTCGCTATTACGAGATGAACTTTTTTGTGAAGTCGACTTGGCAAGATAATACATGTCGCCATGACGACATGAGCTTTTTGTGAAGTCGACTTGGCAAGATAATTTATTTCGCCATGTCGACATTACTTTTTGGGTAGTCGTCTTGGTAAGATAATATATGTCGCCAAGACGACATGTATATTTTTAGAAGTCGACTTGGTAAGATAACTTATGTCGCCATGCCAACATGAACATTTTGTGAAGTCGACTTGGCAAGATAATTTATTTCGCCATGTCGACTAATAAAAGTTGATAAGTCGACATGGTAGGTTAAATATCTTTACATGTCGACATGATATGGATATTAAGTCGACTTGACAAGATGAAATATCTCGTCATGTCGTCAAGTAGAATGGCACTTTAACGCTTCCGTACGCCCCTGCCATATATATATATACAACATGCTCGGTTGTATTTGGGCATATTTCCAAAATACTGCTAATACCTAAGTTCTTTGTGTTCACTATGCGGGCAGTGCCATGGTATTTCCTCCAGGGTTTAAACAAATAATAAACCATCTCTTCTTTTCAACAGGCACAAAGGACGTTATCTTTTGACAATACTACTGGACCATTAACAATGGATATAATAGATGCACTTTGCCATCGTACGTGTGTCGACTACTTGAAAGTGTTTATGGTAAAGATTGCAGGTGAAGAATGTTTTCCAGACCTTCATGGCCGAGAGGTGGATTCAAAGGTTAGTGAAGCAGCGAATCGGCTTACATTTTCATCCCACCCCCTTCTTTCTCTTTTTTCCTTCCCAGTTTTCATCTCTTCCTTAATCCATAAAAGTTCCCTTTCTTGCTTACTTTTTTTCGCTCTGTTCTCTTAATTTATCTCTCCTTCTCTGTGCTCTCTTTATAATTAGATGTCCTCTTAACAGAATAGAGATATAGAGAGGAGAGCCTTCAAGTCAAACCAGATTTATTTGGATACGCCTAGACATTATACCTTTTTGTTCATTGTTCTCTGACGATTCTTTAGTGTTCTTTCATGCTGGCCTCTGTATTTTGTTTAAATTGTAAAAAAGGGAAAGAAAAATTACAGACTCTGACTACTAAATTAAAGGCTCCGTCTTACTCAAATCAATCGCAATTCCTCCTATCAATCGCAAGTTTGCAGTCTCCTATCTCTTATGTACATACTTGCGATTGATATCAACTCTTTATAAACTTTGTAATTATCACGACATCAATTTTATCCACAAAATGATATGGTTATCAAACGGGCAGGTTTTTGTGTATGAAGGTGTGTGTGTGTGTGGGGGGGGGAGCATATATATACACATACATACATTGAATGGTTCTAAATTAATAAGTACAGCGATCACCATCATCAATGATTTTTTTCTTCATATGATCTGATAGGATACTAGGGCCATAATCCACTGGATGCATGTTCTTGAACACAATACCTTTGTGGCACTCAGTTGAAAGAAAACAATGAAACAAATGGTAATAAATAATCATGAATCACAAACTACAAGAGTATTCATATGGTGTGCGTTTGATCCATAAAACTAACCCAAATTACCATTACATTTCTCAGGCATGCCGATGTGTAACTCTTTTTTTTTTTTTTTTTTTTTGGGGTTGTTGTTGCGTTTTTGTTTTTGTTTTTTTTGTTTGTTTGTTTGTTGTTGTTTTTTTTTTTTTGGGGGGGGGGGGCGCTGTACAAAGTATCACTCAGTTCAGGCTGAAGGGTTTCTATCTTTTATTCAAATTTCCTGCTTCATGACTTGCTGGCATACGCCGTAATCTCGATTATATTTTCACAGATTCAAAAGTTGAAAGATGAATATTACAACTCTAAAAAAATAGGGGGAAAAACAAGAGACTTTCTCTCTTTATAATACACGATGACCAATCAGTATCCTGCTGTCTGGATGATTTACTTTTTTTCGGAATAGAGCACTGATTTGTATGTATCTTTTCATCATGTGGGTATATGCCTTTTAAAAAAAAAAACAACCAACCAACCGATTAGTGAACGTTTTGCTCATCAGATTTTTCCACCCCCCCCCCCGTAGCGCGGAAGCTCTGACATTTCATTAACTTATTAAAGAAAGAAGACGATTCGTTGTACCGTTCTCGACTCTTAATCGTTGTCTGAATTCAGTTCCCCCCCCCCCCCTCTCGAGCAAAGCGCAGAAGCTTTGACGTTTCGTTAATCCAGCCATATATTTTATAGCCGATTTTTATATTTTTCTGTGTTCATTATGTGGGTTAATATGTACATACATTTTATATGGAAATTAAAACTAATCAACAAAATAATAAGTCCATTTTCCTTATCAAATTTCTTTTTGACCCCCCCCCCCCACAAACCATCTCCCAAACTGCAGAATTCTGGATCATCTGCTGTGAGTTTGTAAATGCTTGAATGAATGCTACAATTTTCCCCATTTCATGCTATACCATTTTATGTATGCCATTCATTTGAATTTCCACAGATTCAGAAGTTTAACATTAGTTCCTTGCGCCTACATGACGATCAATCATCATCCTACTGTCTGGGGAAGTTTCTCAGTCTCCTGCCTCATCTGACAGACCTCGAGATTAACTCATGTGACTTTCATGATGATTTCTACATAGAGATTGCTGATCGAGCTTCTTCATCTCAGGTAAAATATACATTTTTTTAATGCAGAAAAACAAAGATGCAAATATTATTATTATATATTTTTTTGTGTAAACCTGAAGTTGTGTGAAAGGAATACAAACAAATTGTTGTAAATATTCTATATACTTTTCCATGAGTGTAAAATTGTTATTTCACAAATCAGGTGAAGAAAAAAAACAGTAGATGGGCTAGTACTAGTGAAGTACAAGTAAAACATTATCTTGATTGTATCCAATATGTATTCAGTAATGTGTCTTACACTAACTAATAACGCTGACATTTGTAAATCTATATGCTTTCACTAATTTGATGAATTTCTAGTTTCATATGAAAGATTTGAAATTAATTTTCACCTATACAATGTTCTACGTACTGTTCCAATAACTGCATCATTTCCTCAATGAAATGACAAATGCAATGCAAAACTGAGGAGATGTGAATTATTTGTTGACATATTATTCTTTTTCTTTGTACTGAGATTCCAGGTAAGAAGTAGGCCTACATATACATGTAACTGATGACATAATTTTCTAGATACTTTTCCACGGGCTGGGGCTGGGAATTTTGGTATATTTTTAATTTGGGAACCCGCTCAAATATTTCGAAAATTATAGATTAAAAAGTCACCTTCTAAAAAGTGCTAGATTCAGTCCCGTTGTTGTATCTAAATGTTCCTATTGCTTAAATTTGACTAATTATAGAAGCAAAATACCATTAAATATACATGTACATGCATACCTTGGTGAATATCGGAATATCTCATAATATTTCTTATCCATGTTTGGTAATGTTTAGCATCATTATCATGCCTCTGAAAGTAAAAAAAACCGGGACAAAAATAGAAAAGAGAACATGCAAGCCGCCATTTTGATTCTTGAAGGATGAATAAATCAAGCTAAAAAACAATAATGTTGGAATAATAAAACGGCTTTCCCAAAAAATGATAATAATAATTATCCAAGACAAAATATATTTTTTTTCTCTTATTCTAAACACGGCATGCTTCTTTTTAAAGCTGATAATTACCTAGTTATCACAACAAGATTCAATAATAATCGCTGTTGTAAGGCAAGTTCGGACTGGCCACGGAGGGAATGTACATTACACTTCATTACCGTAGCTGTAATGCATGTCGAAACAAACTCTAACAAATATATATGATCTTACCAAGAAATCATTCAAAACTACGAGAGCACAATTGGAAAGACAACAACTACTCAAAATTATTCAGAAAAAGCCACAGAAAAAGTGATATTTGAGGAGTTATTGTCATCGGCATTTTTTTATATGTGGGTTTTAGAGGACCCACCCCCCCTTCGCCCCAACGAAACAAAATATCGATTGGCCAAATTTTTAAATTTTGGTACACAAAAAAAAGAAAAAATGCTCTTAGGGTGTGTAGTCCTGAAAAGGACTGTTGGTGATCTTGCTTTATCAGCATCCTGTTGTCTGGAAGAGTTACTCTTTATTATATCTCAACCAAAAAATGGAAAAAAGAAAGTCTCCCTCTAGAAATACAGGATGACAAATCAGCAACCTGCTGTGTGGAGAATTTACTCAGTCTCCCAGAATAGAGCAATTATCCAGCCATATATTTTATAGCCGATTTTTATATTTTTCTGTGTTCATTATGTGGGTTAATATGTACATACATTTTATATGGAAATTAAAACTAATCAACAAAATTATTAGTCCATTTTCCTTATCAAATTTCTTTTTGACCCCCCCCCCCCCTCCAACCCATTTCCCAAACTGCAGAATTCTGGATCATCTGCTGTGAGTTTGTAAATGCTTGAATGAATGCTACAATTTTCCCCATTTCATGCTATACCATTTTATGTATGCCATTCATTTGAATTTCCACAGATTCAGAAGTTTAACATTAGTTCCTTGCGCCTACATGACGATCAATCATCATCCTACTGTCTGGGGAAGTTTCTCAGTCTCCTGTCTCATCTGACAGACCTGACGATTTTCAAATGTTCCTTTCATGATGATTTATACATAGAGATTGCTGATCGAGCTTCTTCATCTCAGGTAAAATATACATTTTTTTAATGCAGAAAAACAAAAGATGCAAATATTATTATTATATATATATTTTTTTAAACCTGAAGTTGTGTGAAAGGAATACAAACAAATTGTTGTAAATATTCTATATACTTTTCCATGAGTGTAAAATTGTTATTTCACAAATCAGGTGAAGAAAAAAAAACAGTAGATGGGCTAGTACTAGTGTAGTACAAGCAAAACATTATCTTGATTGTATCCAATATGTATTCAGTAATGTGTCTTAGACTAACTAATAACGCTGACATTTGTAAATCTATATGCTTTCACTAATTTGATGAATTTCTAGTTTCATATGAAAGATTTGAAATTAATTTTCACCTATACAATGTTCTACGTACTGTTCCAATAACTGCATCATTTCCTCAATGAAATGACAAATGCAATGCAAAACTGAGGAGATGTGAATTATTTGTTGACATATTATTCTTTTTCTTTGTACTGAGATTCCAGGTAAGAAGTAGGCCTACATATACATGCAAATGTCATCAATTTTCTGGCTACTTTTCCACGGGCTAGGGCTGGGAATTTTGGGTATATTTTTAATTCGGGAACCCGCTTTAATTTGAAACTTATAGATTAAAAAGTCACCTTCTAAAAAGTGCTAGATTCAGTCCCGTTGTTGTATCTAAATGTTCCTATTGCTTAATTTTGACTAATTATAGAAGCAAAATACCATTAAATATACATGTACATGCATACCTTGGTGAATATCGGAATATCTCATAATATTTCTTATCCATGTTTGGTAATGTTTAGTATCATTATCATGCCTCTAAAAGTAAAAAAAACCGGGGCAAAAATAGAAAAGAGAACATGCAAGCCGCCATTTTGATTCTTGAAGGATGAATAAATCAGGCTAAAAAACATTAATGTTGGAATAATAAAACGGCTTTCCCAAAAAAATAATAATAATAATTATTCAAGACAAAATAATTTTTTTTCTCTTATTCTAAACACGGCATGCTTCTTTTAAAAGCTGATAACTACCTAGTTATCACAACAAGATTCAATAATAATCTCTGTTGTAAGGCAAGTTCGGACTGGCCACGGAGGGAATGTACATTACACTTCATTACCGTAGCTGTAATGCATGTCGAAACAAACTCTAACAAATATATATGATCTTACCAAGAAATCATTCAAAACTACGAGAGCACAATTGGAAAGACAACAACTACTCAAAATTATTCAGAAAAAGCCACAGAAAAAGTGATATTTGAGGAGTTATTGTCATCGGAATTTTTTATATGTGCGTTTTGGAGGAACCCCCCCCCCCCCCCCCCCCGCTCCGTCGAAACAAAATATCGATTGGCCAAATTTTTAAATTTTGGTACACACACAAACAGAAAAATGCTCTTGGGGTGTGTAGTCCTGAAAAGGACTGTTGGTGATCTTGCTTTATCAGCATCCTGTTGTCTGGAAGAGTTACTCTTTATTATATCTCAACCAAAAAATGGAAAAAAGAAAGTCTCCCTCTAGAAATACAGGATGACAAATCAGCAACCTGCTGTGTGGAGAATTTACTCAGTCTTCCAGAATAGAGCAATTGTCCAGCCATATATTTTATAGCCGATTTTTATATTTTTCTGTGTTCATTATGTGGGTTAATATGTACATACATTTTATATGGAAATTAAAACTAATCAACAAAATAATTAGTCCATTTTCTTTATCAAATTTCTTTTTGACCCCCCCCCCCCCCCAATCTCCCAAACTGCAGAATTCTGGATCATCTGCTGTGAGTATGTGAATGCTTGAATGAACGCTACAATTGTCCCCATTTCATGCTTCATGATTTATGTATGCCATTCATTTGAATTTCCACAGATTCAGAAGTGTATCATTTACGAATTGTACCCAAATGGCTATCATTCATCATCCTACTGTCTGGGGAAGTTTCTCAGTCTCCTGTCTCATCTGACAGACCTGAAGATTTTCAAATGTTTCTTTCATGATGATTTCTACAAGGAGATTGCTGATCGAGCTTCTTCATCTCAGGTAAAATATACATTTTTTTAATGCAGAAAAACAAAAGATGCAAATATTTTTTTATTTTTTTTTAAACCTGAAGTTGTGTGAAAGGAATACAAACAAATTGTTGTAAATATTCTATATACTTTTCCAAGAATGTAAAATTGTTATTTCACAAATCAGGTGAAGAAAAATAAACAGTAGATGGGCTAGTACTAGTGTAGTACAAGTGAAGCATTATCTTGATTTAATCAAATATGTATTCAGTAATGTGTCTTACACTAACTAATAACGCTGACATTTGTAAATCTATATGCTTTCACTAATTTGATGAATTTCTAGTTTCATATGAAAGATTTGAAATTAATGTTCCCCTATACAATGTTCTACGTACTGTTCCAATAACTGCATCATTTCCTCAATAAAATGACAAATGCAATGTAAAACTGAGGAGATGTGAATTATTTGTTGACATATTATTATTTTTCTTTGTTCCGAGATTCCAGGTAAGAAGTTGGCCTACATATACATGTAAATGTCATCAATTTTCTGGCTACTTTTCCACGGGCTAGGGCTGGGAATTTTGGGTATATTTTTAATTCGGGAACCCGCTTTAATTTGAAACTTATAGATTAAAAAGTCACCGTCTAAAAAGTGCTAGATTTAGTCCCGTTGTTGTATCTAAATGTTCCTATTGCTTAAATTTGACTAATTATAGAAGCAAAATACCTTTAAATATACATGCATACCTTGGTGGATATCGGAATATCTCATAATATTTCTTATCCATGTTTGGTAATGTTTAGTACCATTATCATGCCTCTGAAATTTAAAAAACTGGGGCAAAAATAGAAAGAGAACATGCGAGCCGCCATTTAGATTCATGCAGAATTAATAAATCAGGCTAAAAAACATTAATGTTGGAATAATAAAACGGCTTTCTAAAATATAATAATAATTATTATTATTCAAGACAAATTTTTTTTTTTCTCTTATTCCAAACACAGTATGCTTCTTTTAAGAGCTGATAATTACCTAGTTATCACAACAAGATTCAATACTAATCGCTGTTGTAAGGCAAGTTCGGATAAGCCACGGAAGGAATGTGCAGTACACTTCATTACCGTAGCTGTAATGCATGTCGAAACAAACCCAAACAAATATATGTGATCTTACCAAGAAATCATTCAAAACTACAAGAGCACAATTGGAAAGACAACAACTACTCAAAATTATTCAGAAAAAGCCACAGAAAAAGTGATATTTGAGGAGTTGTCATCAACATTTTGTTATATGTGCGTTTTAGAGGAACCCCCCCCCTCCCCCCCCCCCCCCCGCCCCAACGAAACAAAATATCGATCGGCCAAATGTTTAAATTTTGGGACACAAAAAAAAAAAAAAATGCTCTTAGGGTGTGTAGTCCTGAAAAGGACTGTTGGTGTAGTCTTGAAAAAGACTGTTGGTTATCTTGCTTTATCAGCATTCTGTTGTCTGGAAGAGTTACTCTTTATTCAATCAAAAAATGAAAAAAAAGAAAGTCTCCTTCTAGAAATACAGGATGACAAATCAGCAACCTGCTGTGTGCAGAATTTCTCAGTCTCCAGAATAGAGCAATTATCCAGCCATATATTTTATAGCCAATTTTCATATTTTTCTGTGTTCATTATGTGGGTTAATATGTACATACATTTTATATGGAAATTAAAACTAATCAACAAAATAATTAGTCCATTTTCCTTATCAAATTTCTTTTTGACCCCCCCCCCCCAATCTCCCAAACTGCAGAATTCTGGATCATCTGCTGTGAGTATGTGAATGCTTGAATGAACGCTACAATTGTCCCCATTTCATGCTTCATGATTTATGTATGCCATTCATTTGAATTTCCACAGATTCAGAAGTGTATCATTTACGACTTGTGCCTACATGAAGACCAATCATCCTTCTGTCTGGGGAAGTTTCTCAGTCTCCTGCCTCATCTGACAGACCTCGAGATTAACTCATGTGACTTTCATGATGATTTCTACAAAGAGATTGCTGATCGAGCTTCTTCATCTCAGGTAAAATATACATTTTTTTAATGCAGAAAAACAAAAGATGCAAATATTATTATTATATATATTTTTTTAAAACCTGAAGTTGTGTGAAAGGAATACAAACAAATTGTTGTAAATATTCTATATACTTTTCCATGAGTGTAAATTGTTATTTCACAAATCAGGTGAAGAAAAAAAAAACAGTAGATGGGCTAGTACAAGTATAGTACAAGTGAAGCATTATCTTGATTGAATCCAATATGTATTCAGTAGTGTGTCATACACTAACTAATAACGCTGGCATTTGTAAATCTATATGCTTTCACTAGTTTGATGAATTTCTAGTTTCATATGAAAGATTTGAAATTAATTTTCCCCTATACACTGTTCTACGTACTGTTCCAATAACTGCATCATTTCCTCAATGAAATGACAAATGCAATGCAAAACTGAGGAGATGTGAATTATTTGTTGACATATTATTCTTTTTCTTTGTACTGAGATTCCAGGTAAGAAGTAGGCCTACATATACATGTAAATGTCATCAATTTTCTGGCTACTTTTACACGGGCTAGGGCTGGGAATTTTGGGTATATTTTTAATTCGGGAACCCGCTCAAATTTGAAACTTATAGATTAAAATGTCACCGTCTAAAAAGGGCTGGATTTAGTCCCGTTGTTGTATCTAAATGCTTCTATTGCTTAAATTTGACTAATTATAGAAGCAAAATACCTTTAAATAAACATGCATCTTATATGAAGTTGTTTCTTATCCATGTTTAGTAATGTTTAGTACCATTATCATGCCTCTGAAAGTTAAAAAACTCGGGCAAAAATAAAAAGAGAACATGCGAGCCGCCATTTTGATTCATGCAGAATTAATAAATGAGGCTAAAAAACATTAATGTTGGAATAATAAAACGGCTTTCTAAAAAATAATAATAATAATAATAATTCAAGACTAAATAAATATTTTTCTCTTATTCTAAAAACGGCATGCTTCTTTTAATGAGCTGATAATTACCCAGTTATCACAACAAGATTCAATGCTAATCGTTGTTGTAAGGCAAGTTCGGACTAGCCCCGGAAGGAATGTGTAGTACACTTCATCACCGTAGCTGTAATGCATGCCGGAACAAACTCATACAAATATACGCGATCTTACCAAGAAATCATTCAAAACTTCGAGAGCACAATTGGAAAGACAACAACTACTCCAAATTACCATACATAACTTCAACAAAGAAAACAATACTTATCTAGAGAAGTATAGGTACATTTTTATCGGAATGTATGGGCCCGCTACGAGGTACGTGCACATATATTGTTTATTTTGATAACAAGGCTAGAATCCACTCTCCTGCCCTCTACGGTAAAAAACAGTATAACAATGGATTCAAGCATAGTGATTATATATGTGCAGCATACCCAGTAACTCGTCGAAAATCACTATTTCTGTGGCATTTCCTGGACGACTATTGAATTCTTTTTCCAATTTATGTATCTGTTTTAAAGTAATTTTTAGTAGTTGTCATATTTTTGTGCTCTCGTCATTTTGAACGATGTTTTGGTACAATCACATTTTCAGTGCCTGAGGATACACTGATAATGACACAGTTTGTAAAATCCATGCTTTCTCCAATATGATTGATGAATTTCTACATGTAGCTTCGTAAAGGTTCTTAATTTTCTCCAATACAATATGCTACTGCCCCATTACAATTTTTTCTCACCTATTTTCTTGCTCACCAGATATCTTTTTCCGCCCCCCCCCCCTCCCTTCAAAATTCTGGATCTTCTGCTGCGATTAAATGAATGCTTAATGTGAGAGTACAGGTTATCATAATGGTTTCCCCTCTTTTTCCAATGTTATGCTTCATGATCGATGCATATGCCATTCATTTGTAAAATTTCAATTCTATCAATCAACACACTTAAGCTAATCTAGGTATGGAAATAAAGTGAAACATATAAAGATCATGAGAACTTATAATTCCCTCTCTGCAGTTTTGTCTTCTTCACCTTTACGGCTATCTTGTTTTGTTTATCCACTGAAGATTGTATGTATTATCAGTGATGCATAGATGTGATATTATGTATGCTGCATGAACATGACTGATGCCAATTGATTAACTATCCCTGCAGATCCAAACAGTCAACCTGGATTTCAATGTGATTGATGACTTGCCAGTCCAAAGTCAGTCAGCATCCAAGCAGCTAGCCAAGTTTCTCTGCTCTCTACCCTGCCTTACAACCTTAGAGATCAAAGACAATGAATATTTACCTAATGTTTTCTTCACTGAACTAGCTTCCTTGGCTGCATCCTCACAGTTAATAAGAAAAGTCAGTTCTCAGGCAGTAGAAACATGCATGGATGTAGAAGCACTTTCGCTGCTCTTCATCAATGTTCACACAGTAGTATATAACAAGCAAAGTAAAAGATTTTGTGTAGAAGTTTTGAAAGCCAGACTCGTCCATTTATAGTTTTAAAAAAACAACCAGGATGAAATCGGGCAAGAAATAGAGGAAAAGAAACATTGCAGTTGTGAATCAATTAAAAAAAAAAAATCTATTGAGTAACTACTCTTCAGGAATTATAGAATTAGATACGAATTTACATAAGCATGAGAACTTTATACTTCACTTCATGTATGAAATATTGTGTCCATGAAAATTTGAATTCCCCAAAATATCCTATCCTTTTTCCAATTTTAACTAGACCTTAAGTCTGTTCATTTTATCGAATTGGTAGTTTTATCACGTGACGTGAGTTAGCTTGGAGAGTTCAGGGTGAGATAGAAAGAGAGAACGAGCGAAATAAACTTTTGTTGGCAACCCAATGTTAAAGCCCCACTGCACTACTTATAGCTACTTGCGCCCCTAGATAGCAAACAATGTCTAATCGGTGCATGTTGGTCCCCCATGATCCCCTTTTTCTTATCTTAATTGAAAGCTGATTTGATGAGATAAACTTCTGTTTTTGACCTTGCAGGGAGGTCTAATCCCCCTGGCCAAACTATTGCAGACGGGCTTTAATGAATTGGTAAAAACAAAGTAGAACAAATGAAACCCCAAGGTACTTGCCTTTTTTGTTTGTATACCTCTGTCACTGAAGGTGATGCATGGAGGCATTACATATATTTTTGGCTTGTCCGTCGGTCCCGCTTTTTGTTACCGCTATATAACTTGAGAAAATTACATGGATTTTAACCAAACTTAGATGAAGTATGAACTGATTTGATTATACAAACAAAACATCAATAGTCAGAAATATGCACAAACAATGTTTAAAAGTACACAAAATATGAGAAAAGATCTCTTTATACCGCGATAACTTGAAAACAGAGCTGCGAACCATTACATTTTTCCCGGAATTAACACGTTTTGTCTTCATAAAATACTCTTTTTTTGTTTACATACCGCTCATCAAACAATTGCACTAAAATTTTATTTTGATCACACATTCAATAGAAAAGTAAGGTTAAAAACATACTTGAAAACATACTTGAAGAGAAAAAAATTATCAAAAAGAATGAAACGCCGATAGTACCAAGATAAAACATTCCTACTTGTAAAGAAACTATAGGTCCTAATATAGAAAAAGCAGCGTGAGGAATGGAATGGACATTTCTGCATTGGAATTGTGTCGCACGCGGTTGTTAGTTTCGTTTTAATGAATCCTTTTTTTTTTTTTGCTTGAAATTGCTTTTTTTGCCATCATGGTTACTTATTTTGGTCGCACAAGGTTGGCAGCATTCTGGATCATCTGCTGTGAGTATGTGAATGCTTTAATGAATGCTATAATTTTCCCCATTTCATGCTATACCATTTTATGTATGACATTCATTTGAATTTCCACAGATTCAGAAGTTTATCATTAGTTACTTGTACCTACATGACGATCAATCATCATCTGGCTATCTGGGGAAGTTTCTCAGTCTCCTGTCTCATTTGACAGACCTGACGATTAACTCATGTTCCTTTCATGATGATTTCTACAAAGAAATTGCTGACCAAGCTTCTTCATCTCAGGTAAAATATACATTTGTTTTAATGCAGAAAAACAAAAGATGCAAATATTATTATTATTTTTTTTTTAACCTGAAGTTGTGTGAAAGGAATACAAACAAATTATTGTAAATATTCTATATACTTTTCCATGAGTGTAAAATTGTTATTTCACAAATCAGGTGAAGAAAAAAAAACAGTAGATGGGCTAGTACTAGTGTAGTACAAGTGAAGCATTATCTTGATTGAATCCAATATGTATTCAATAGTGTGTCTTACACTAACTAATAACGCTGACATTTGTAAATCTATATGCTTTCAGTAGTTTGATGAATTTCTAGTTTCATATGAAAGATTTGAAATTAATTTTCCCCTATACACTGTTCTACGTACTGTTCCAATAACTGCATCATTTCCTCAATGAAATGACAAATGCAATGCAAAACTGAGGAGATGTGAATTATTTGTTGACATATTATTCTTTTTCTTTGTACTGAGATTCCAGGTAAGAAGTAGGCCTACATATACATGTAAATGTCATCAATTTTCTGGCTACTTTTACACGGGCTAGGGCTGGGAATTTTGGGTATATTTTTAATTCGGGAACCCGCTCAAATTTGAAACTTATAGATTAAAAAGTCACCGTCTAAAAAGTGATAGATTTAGTCCCGTTGTTGAATCTAAATGTTCCTATTGCTTAAATTTGACTAATTATAGAAGCAAAATACCTTTAAATATACATGCATACCTTGGTGGATATCGGAACTTCTCATATGAAGTTGTTTCTTATCCATGTTTGGTAATGTTTAGTACCATTATCATGCCTCTGAAAGTTAAGAAACTCGGGCAAAAATAGAAAGAGAACATGCGAGCCGCCATTTTGATTCATGCATAATTAATAAATGAGGCTAAAAAACAATAATGTTGGAAAAATAAAACGGCTTTCTAAGAAAAGAAAAAAAAATAATTCAAGACAAAATAAATATTTTTCTCTTGTTCTAAACACGGCATGCTTCTTTTATTAAAGAGCTGATAATTGCCCAGTTATCACAACAAGATTCAATACTAATCGTTGTTGTAAGGCAAGTTCGGACTAGCCCCGGAAGGAATGTGCAGTACACTTCATCACCGTAGCTGTAATGCATGCCGGAACAAACTCATACAAATATACGCGATCTGACCAAGGAATCATTCAAAACTACGAGAGCACAATTGGAAAGACAACAACTACTCCAATTTACCATACATAACTTCAACAAAGTAAACTTTATCCAGAAAAGTATAGGTACATTTTTATCGGAATGTATGGGCCCGCTACGAGGTACGTGCACATATATTGTTTATTTTGATAACAAGGCTAGAATCCACTCTCCTGCCCTCTACGGTAAAAACAGTATAACAATGGATTCAAGCATAGTGATTATATATGTGCAGCACTCCCCTTTCGATAAAATATACCCAGTAACTCCTCGAAAATCACCTTTTCTGTGGCATTTCCTGGACGACTATTGAATTCTTTTTTCAATTTATGTATCTGCTTTTAAGTAATTTTTAGTAGTTGTCATATTTTTGTGCTCTCGTAGTTTTGAACGATGTTTTGGTACAATCACATTTTCAGTGCCTGAGGATACACTGATAATGACAGTTTGTAAAATCCATGCTTTCTCCAATATGATTGATGAATTTCTACATGTAGCTTCGTAAAGGTTCTTAATTTTCTCCAATACAACATGCTACTGCCCCATTACTATTTTTTCTCACCTATCTTCTTGCTCACCAGATATCTTTTTCCGCCCCCCTCCCCCCCCCCCTTTCAAAATTCTGGATCTTCTGCTGCGATTAAATGAATGCACTGGTTTTTTAACATATACCAAATGTGTCCAAAATAGGGTCTGAAATGAAATCATGTTTACTCACTTCAAACATGTATTTTTAGGATCAGGACTATTCATATTTTTGAGAAATGCAAATTTTGGACCTTAATCTATCTTTTTATTTGTTCACCAGATATGAATACTTTGAGTTTTTACAATTTTATTGTGAACTATAGCATATCTAATAACTGTGATATAAAACTCATTTGCTATTAACTTCACCAACAAATATGTTGGTCTTTAAGAATATGTTTCAGAGATTATTCATGCAAATTTTTGAGTTTCTATCTTGAAAAATACAGATTTTGTGTCCCTTGAAAGTGAAAAATAGCTCCAAATTAGGGTTTTGACAATAACAAGTTTTTATTTCAATAGGTAAAATGCTTTTTTCTTAGTTCAAATTTATTTTATTATAACAACTGATGATATAAGTTAAATACATCCCAAAAAATTGGGGAACCAGTGCATTGCCTAATAATTTTCATATGTCACACCACTGGTGTTTCGGACGTTACACACTGTTAAAGTTGATACTCTAAGCAAATAAATGTCCCTTAATTTGTTACCTACGGCAAGTATATGTTATTTTTAAGTTTTTCAATTACTTAGTATATCACAAAAAATTCTGTCTACTCGAAATCCTAAATTGAAATGTCTAAAATATCCGCCTCTCTTTGCATAGAAAATCAGTCACGACGCTGGTCTACTATTTATGACCTCACGTCCGGGAGAGAGTATATTCACGTACCCGGATGTTCCATAGCAAACATGTGCAGAGTGATACGATTTTCTGCATATTTTTGTTTCAAAGGCTGAAAAGTCTAATAAATCATAATTCTATGTACAATTCTTTACCTTCCCCTAGTATTTCATAGTATTAATATCGATTCCCCTTTTAAAAATTATGACATATACATACCAACGATGTGCTATTAGTCGATATTTTCACCATGTAATTTTTGTTTTGGTGTTGAAATCGGCCCAGGCACGGAGTAAACAGTAGCTGTCTACCCATGCACAGTTCATTACCATACACTACAGCGATCTCCCGATGGTTTCTTCTTCCTTTTTCCCATGTCTTTCGCCTTCCTTGGCCCTGAACATCCTTCATCTACCAATTCTGACACCGGTTGTCAGGAGCAAGTCTTTGTTAGTTGTTTTTCTTAGCTGGCAACGTCGCTTTCATTCTCTTGCAATTGCCGATAAACATATAACTAGCGCACGTACGTTCCATCACAAGCAAGCAGCGCCTAGAGCAGCGGCTTGGTCTTACCTCCCGATTCTGCTCGCTCCACGAACGTTCATGCAAGAGCCGCATCACTCGCCAAAATATTATAGAGGAAGCGCGCTTGCATGATCTCGTTCAAGTTTGATATTTTACAACATAAAATGTTTAACTGGTACTGTATCCTTTTTGAGGCAGTCACACACATCTATGATAAGTACTATCATAGTTCTAGACATATTCGTTTTACAAAACTGCTCATGTACATCTGATGACAATATAATGCATCCGCCTATTCATAAGTGCACGATTTAACTTTAATTCCTAAGCAGTAAACTCGTCTTAAATCTCTACCAAATAGGTGAATATGAGGATATAAAAAGAAATCAGCGACTGGAAAATGTTGCTTCGTTATTCTTCATTCAAATGAAAACAGAAAATCCATCAAATATACTCCGTAACAACAACAAATCTAAGCTCTGACAGGATAGCATTTACGTAGGGATATCACTGCCATTCACTCTCACTGAGCCCACGACTCCCGTTCGTGACGTCACGGATAGAGGCCCGACTCTACGTGCACTTCCGGGTTTCAGACTTAGATATTTTGGTAGAGTTTACTCGAATAAATTCATTATTCTAAACTTGTTTTGTCGGGTGGACACCATTTGATGTTATTATGGAGGTTAAAAGCTTTCTATTTATGTTATTATCTCAGTATTTGGGATTGTCTTAGAGTATCAACTTTAACACCATAACTTTATTCAAGTTAATTGCTTTTCTTTAGGTATTATTGACCTAAGTTACATTAATTGTTTGCAGAAAAATATTTCTTTAACATGTATTGAAAAACTTGTGCAGTTTTAAATAGTTTTGCACATATACCTAGTTTGTCTTCATCGACTACTCAATTTATGTAAGGTAAACTGTTCATTTCAGGAACGTGTAGTTAAAAATGCTTATGTGATCTAACAAAGAGAAATATGGATCTAATAGCAATTGTAGTCATCACAACTCCTAGAAATTTCACTTTATACAAACATACTCTCTTTTGCAGGTTATGAACAACAGTGTACAATATATGCTATAGTTTGTTTCGGATGTTACAAGATGTGAACATTTCAATCAGATCATCAATTTCTTCAAACTTTACAACATAGATGTTTAATCGGCTTGCTTTGTACTTTGCCTTAAACTAGATTCATGTAGTGTGTCATTCAATAATATCACTATCACATACATGTACAGTGTGTACAGTGTAAGCAAAACATTACAAAAATACTTTTAACAAATAAAAGTATACAAAAGTATCCCCAGCCATTTAAGTAATAAGAAATATGGAAATCCTAATTCATTGTACATCCCGATATTTTTGCATAAATTTGAGGAAGATACTATATCTTTAGGATCATGAAATGATCATTAACATGTACATTTTGTTATGAGGGTCAAGTATTTGAAAAGTATTTGTACATAAGGCTAGTACATTTGAGGGTAATTCATCCAATGAAAGGAAAAAATTATGAATTCATTAATTTTGAAGAGGCTACACCTTATTTTCATGTTCATGCTTTAATTACCCCCACGAATGGGTAATCCATTTTCTTGTCATTTGGAAATTTGGCAGATCTACATCTATGTCAACATTATGTTGTACAAGTTTCTATAATAGGTATCGGATACTGATTACTGATTATTGTTTTATAATGGAAGCCTTTGTGCTCATCAATTGTACATGTATGCAACCAATGAGTGTGTCATGTAGTGTGCAGGCCAATTTCATAAATCTGCTTGATAAATTGTTATCATTATTAAGCGTAAATGCCAATTCCAGTTTTGGATAATGGCAGTAGCAATCCTTTCTACATAGATTAGTTACATGTACTGAGTGCCCTTTTAAAAATGTATTTTCAGATGAAAATACA